AGAGATATTTAATCGCAAATTTGACGTCTTTACTAACAAAGTCGTCTTCTCTTGTTTGTTTGTTCAAATGAAGCGATACGATGGTGTTTTCTTACGCACTGGAAAAAAGTTTGACGAATGTATAACCCATAGATAAGCTGACCCCCTGAAAAATATTGAAGTCGATTACTAAATGAACTGCTTTCAATCATTTCTGTTTAGTTAGTCAATAGCAGCCTGATGACGGCCACTGTCAGGCTGTCTATAATGAATGTTGATAATAAGTTATAATAAGTTACAGATTAATGGAGCACATCTTACCCAGTGACTCATTGTTCAAGAATAGGTGAGGTGAGGTGAAATTGGGTTTAACGTCATGCTTGAGAATATTTCGCTCATATGACGACGTGCATGCGTGTGTATGTGTATGTGCGGCTGCTTATACTAGCCCAGGCTTAAGCTGGTTTTATAGTGCTAGCCCACTGAGATACCATGCCGCAGTGAAGCATGAATACCCCACTCAGACACAGTATACTGACTCCGAGCCGACCAGTCCTTGTTGTACCCATTCATGCCAAACGCCAGGCAGAGACCAACAAGTACCATATTTTAACGTCTTTTGGTATGGCGCTCTCTTCCGCTCTCAGGGCGGACGCTCTAACCACTACACCACGGAGGCGGTCTCATTGTACAAGATGTGTTTAAGTTTAAAGTTTAAAGTGATTTACAATAAACATTTCCACTCTCCACTTCTGAACTATCAAGTTTACTATGGGAACCTTTATCTCCTCAAGAATCATCGTCATATTATCTCATCATCTCAATGCCTAAAGTACATCAGCTTTTAGGATTTTCAACTGTTAGACTGTTACAAAAACCTGAAATTCTGTGGAAAAGAGTATTAACAGAATTTCTGCAAAGGTAAAATGTGCATAACATTGACATTTCCGTGGGCCCTGTTGATAGTGAGGTTTTCTTGAAGACAAAAATTAAATGAATAATTACTCTTTACAAATTTCATCCCCTGGCATTACCAGATCGGTCTTTTTTTGTGAAATGACATTTATGGTAGATTTACAACGCCATAGAAATACAGCACATGGACAGCCTTCTGTTAATACAAAAAATCTTTGAATTTCCTTAGTTAAGAATCCAAACACGAGAGATAAATGTGACAGGAATCTGCTATAATTGTACCATTCAGCCCAGAAAACAGCAATAAATCTGTCCACCAAATCCATGCATGAAAAGCAAAATCTAATGCGTCTCCTACGGAGGGAAATTGGCACATTTCTTTGACATTTTCAAGATCGATACAGACACACTGTGTACACGGCAGGAAAGTTTTGGAGACAAAACATCTAAGTGATCGATTTAGAGCAATTGGGAACTCGACAGAATGTGCTATGAAAGTGCCATTAGTTGAAAGGAATACAAGTATCATTGATTAATCACCGTCCAAGGAGGTTGAAACATGACAGAATCACATGGTAAATGACGTTGAAAATGCTTAATCCCAATTTTTGTTTTCATAAATTTTGTTTAAAACTGAAATCACTTTTATTTGAACATCACTTTTGCTGAACATAAGGTACAAGTACAAATGCAGAATGGTCTTAAATATGTTACATTGTGAGTCATAGGGCCCAAATTAAGTTTAGTTGTTTCTACAAACCAATAAAAAAGTATTGTTGGTTGCATGTTTCATATCAGGGACATTTTTGTTCCAGTACATGGTTAGCACACAGCCTGGATATGTTTTTTTTAAAAGCAAAATAATATTTTTGCAATCCCATCAGTTGTGAAAACCTGAATGCTTTCTACCAAATTTCTGTACTAAAATCTCTGTTTGAAAGTACATTAGAGAACCACAGGGGTGGAAATAACCCATTGCCCGACGTCCGAGTCCAGTGTTTTTTCTGTTGGGCAAGCAAATTTGTACATCACACTGTACCGGTGTCCAGTTGATATTCCAATGTTAATTATGTTGTTTATTTAAAAAATCAGCAAGAAAATGGTCGGTATAGTGGGAAAATTATCTAGCACTTATGTAGGGCTAGATTCAATCGGCAGCCTATCATTCCATCGGTCTAAAACTTATTGCAACATCTGCAAATCATTTCCTCAACAGTAAGCAGGCATTTTCTCCAAAACCATCGGGTAATCATACACACTTGTCGGGTCATAGATGGCCTTGACATTCAAGTGACCTGAGCAGTAAATTTGTAAGAATAATTTTAGAAGTTAAATATTTATAAATATAATTTCCTAAAATGAATCAATATCGAATGCATTTTACAACCTCTAAAACTATTCTTAACAATTTACTGTTCCGCATATTAATCAAAAATATAGGATTATTGCAAAGTTCATATTTCGCTACATTAGCAAACAGTCAAAATCTTACAGTATATTATATTTTCCACCAATCGGATGGCCCAATTTCGCTTTCTGCGAATCCGGCCAGATCACTTGAACGTCATACTATCTATGGCCGACAAGTGAAGTATGATTGCCGATGGTTTTGGAGAAAATGCCTGCTTACTGTCGAGGAAATGATTTGTAGATGTTGCAATAAGTTTTAGACCTGTGGAATGGCGCTGCCGATCGAATCTAGCCCTACATAGGTGCTGTCAACGTGGCTGGAATTAATAAACGAATTTAAACGGTGAGTTTCGCTGTCTCGGGTGATCCAATGATTTTGGCTTGGAATTGGCGGAGGTTGCTGTTTTCGGTGAGTCGTGGCGATATAACTTTGAAATAATGATCCGATTGTGACCATTTATAGCTCATTTTGTAGGGAAATCATCTTGCTTTTGATCCGTAGGCCTCGACAGGGCCTTAAAAATAGTTTACGTGGTGAAATCTAACTTAGATTGAGGAAGGGGTGGTTCCGTCGTTACATCCCTTTCCTTTTATATAGTACTAGGGTAGGGTCTATATACCTATATGTCTTCTGACGCTGTTTCTAAGCATGACACGCCTCTGTGGGTGAGGTGAGGTGAAATTGGGGTTTAACGTCGTGCTGTGTGTATGTGTATGTGCGGCTGCTTGTAGTAGCCCAGACTGAAGCTGGTTTAAAAATGCTAGCCCACTGAGATACCATTCCGCAGTGAAGCATGAATACCCCACTCAGACACATTATACTGACTCCGAGCCGACCAGTCCTTGTTGTACCCATTAATACCGAGTGCCAGGCTGGGACCAACAACTACCATATTTTAACGTCTTTTGGTATGACACGGTTGGGGATCAAACCCACGACCTTCCGCTCTCCGGGTGGACGCTCTAACCACTACACCACTGAGGCGGTCAGTTGTCTTTGGTATGTACTGTAAGACAATAGAGATATACGACCCTTGATAATTAAGGACAGAAACAAGAATCTTATGAGCTTCATCTGAAGGCGGACACCCACACCAACAGGTTCTTTATGAGTTTCAAATACTTCCCCTGAGACAGGACAGTCTGCAAACATTCGACACAAAGCCGTAATCTACACTGAGACCATTTGGAATATGACACAAGGGTATCAGCTTCATAATTCTGATACGTGATATATATACCTTTAACATTTACATATATATGCCTTTAACCTACTAGGAAAATGTCTTTCTCTAAAAATTCTATCAGTTTAATTTTTTTTTCTTCTGTAATTTTATCATCATCAAAACTCAAATCCACAAAAGTTTTCTTTAACTTTTTTATGAGAATATTTTTAATGGCTATGTTGTTTGATCGACATGCTTTGAGTGAGTGACTGAGTACTGTTTTACTCCGCTTTTAGCAATATTCCAGGAATATCACGGCAGGGGACACCAGAAATGGGCTTCACACATTGTACCCATGTGGGTCTAGATTTCCTCAGGTTCTGAAATCCCTAGGGCTCCTTTTCAACCAGGGTGTTCGAGACTAAGCCTTAGTCTTATTGTACCCCATGCAAACGTGACGAGCGAACACTTTAACCACTAGGCTACCCCACCACCCCAACAACATGCTTTGAAATATATACACCTCACCAATAAAGTTGCAGAACACTAAATTCTTTCAAACTATTACACAATTATAGACGAGGTCAGTACCTGATAATACCAGGTATTGACCAAATTCACCAGTCCATAATTGTTTTATTATGTAGTTACCAAAAAAAAAAGCTTCTAAAAACCAAAACATGTCCATTTAGTCTAGAAAAGTAATTTTATTTTCCCTACAAACCAACAACGTTATGTCGACAACACTGTGACACTTAAACAATAGAATGACATCATAGCTTGACGTCAAAATCTATTTTTAGTAACACAAGTCAATATGACTTTTGGTCGGACCTGGGTTGGAGTCAATATGCTGTCTGTCGATGGTCATGTGACCGCCTCTAGACCAATCAGGTAGCCGGAAAAATATGCTTACATAATCACATAATATATAAGCGAGTGAGTGGGTTTAGTTTTACACTACTTTTAGCAATATTCCAGGAATATCTCGGCGGGGGACACCAGTAATGGGCTTCACACATTGTACCCATGTGGGGAATCAAACCATGACAAGCGAACGCTTTAACCACTGGACTACTGCACCTCTCCTATAATATACGATGCCACATGAGACTGACTATAGCAACAACACAGAATCCAGTGTTCGATAACTTCTTTTTATCTTTAATGCAGTAGTTCAAAGTCTTATTATTTTGAGTATCAAAAGGTGTCAGTAACTAAATTGATCTTAAATCATTCTGTGAAATATTTAAGAGAATATTTCAAGAACCAGTACTTTTGAGTCACTGAATATTACTCGCATTTAATAATTCTCTTTGAGCATTTCATTGTTTTGGGGTGTATGAATATACTTTTATTTCCATTCTAGGTCCATTTGGAAATTAGAAAAATGTCGACATTTTAAACAATAATTTCAGATGAAACACCAGCAACAGCAATGAATAATGAACCAACTTACCAAAAAATGATAAAATGACAAAGATAAAGTTCAAACAAACATCCCAGGCATAAAATAGGTCCAAAAAATACCTTTTTCCTGAATTCTTGTGGTATTCCCAATGGTAACCTAGCAACAGCCTTCATGGCATCCTTCCACTGCTCAAAGGCGCTCTCACCAGGGGGAGGCTGAATTGAGAACCGCATCCTAGTATCGATTTCTGAAAAAATAAAAACGTCCAAATGTAATCCATGTCTATTACATATGCATTGGATTCAGTCAGGTACCAGTATCTTCAAACTGGATTCTGAAAAAATTGACCAAAATTAATGTGATCTGACAATGGAGATCAGGAGTATAATCACCCAGTGTCAGTTGGATTCAATTTTCAGGGTCTCTTTTTAACCTGGATCTATTATCTGGGCGATGAAATAAATATCAATGGCACAATGCATTAGACACTACCACAATAGGACTCGAGAGCTGTTATTAGGAACAACGGACAAGAAACAACGCAAGTGGTCCTCGCAGACTGATTTCCATACACTTAAACAGAATGCAGCGTATGAAGGATTTCTCGTTTGTATTATGCAACGAAACTGCATCAACATCTGAGACAAAAATGTGTCTGGCGTTCGAGATACTCAATCTTCTCCTCAAGGTATTAAACAAATTCCTTAAATTGTATCTTGGCATGTTAAAATTGGTTGTTTTTCAACCACTCGTTGGAAGTAATAGAATTTATTTCTGAAGTGTCAGTTTAGCTGATTTGACAAACATGAGTTTGTGCTTTTCCTGAATTCAATAATGCTGATTTAAAGAGTTTCATCGTAAAAAACTAACACAGAATTTGAGGATTTGGTCATGAATCCAGTTAATTATTATCATGTTTAACTTTCGGCTAAAAACACATTTTTTTAAATCACCTCCATTTCCTAAACATTTGCAACCTGATAAAGAACAGAAAGTAGCATCCAAAACAGTTCCACGGCCGTGAGATGTGGTTTCTGTTTCAAGACTAATCATACTCTCTGCCGTTTCTCAAGACATGTATTGGTGTTGGATAACAGTGAAAGACATAAACTTGTTCTGACTTCAATTTCGGTTTCATCTCCAACTGTCCAAAAGTGGAGTAAAAACTAATTGAAATAATTAATTTTTACTCCTCTTTTGGACAGTTAGAGATAAATTTAGTTGAAATAAATTACTAAACAAGTTTAAATATAACATTGAAGATAAAATGACATTAAAAACAGATTAAAGTGATGTAATATAAATTTTAAATACATACTATTCTGAACTCAAAAGAATGCATGCCATTACAAATCAACAATAGTTGTCCTTGTGTTATCTGTTTAAGGACACTTAAGAACATCTATTATTTTCTCGAATATTGTCGTACAAGAGTAAAACATTTCACCAACTCATTAAAGACAATTCTATCTTAAACACAAGCCAGTATACAAATGACGTAACCAATCTTGTCAAAGCAAGAGGAAATAAACCCTGCTGTCTGAAAACATATAATGTGACGTACAAGAATTAGGTGATCCTTAACTTGTTTCGAGTAGTATAAAAAGCAATACACTACATGCACAACTAATGACCACCCAAGTTATCATTTTCTACCTTGAAATATTTCAACCAGACTCTAAAATACTTCATTTTGAGATTCAGAAAATCAAAGTGGCAAAAACTATCTGGACCTATATAATTTGACTGACTGACTGACTGACTGAGTTTGGTTTTACGCCGCTTTTAGCAATATTCCAGCAACATCACGGCGGGGGACACCAGAAATGGGCTTCACACATTGTGCCCATGTGGGGATTCGAACCCGGGTCTTCGGCGTGACGAGCCAACGCTTTAACCATTAGGCTACCCCACCGCCCCCTATATAATTTGATACATTACATTAGAATAAACCTTGATTTTTTAAAATTTAAAAGACAAGTGACGAACATGCCACCATATTCAGATAGATTTCTGAACAACACAAAGAATCCAAACTGTTTTGATAAACACAACAACAAAAGTATAATACCAGTTCTTCTACTGTTCAACAACAACCTGTGATGTGTGTGTGTGTCTTCACATTTGATCAATGTCGTGCTGTCAGGTTAGTGAAGCTAATCTCATCACCTACAAGATGGGTGTGCATGGAGCTTGGCATCTCGTCCATATCAACAATTAGGAAGATATTAAAACCTCCTGACATAAGGCTTCCATTGCACAATCCCTGGAGGCCATTGTAGACAGAAGGTGTCCGTACATTAAGGAACCAATTGTGTTGGCTTGAGCCCAGCCTTAGGGCATGTGTTGGTGAGAGCTTTTAGGGAGTGGATTTAGGAAGATTTATGATAAGGGCACGGACAAAAACTGCTCATCATGTTTAACAATTCAGTGTATAGTGTTTACACAGTGTTTCGTCTTTATTATATCTATAAAACATATCCCTATGAAAATTGAAAACAAACACTATAACTATGAGATGTAATTATGATACATAATTAATGTACATATTGGTTCTGTTAATATTTTTGTAGTGAGTGAGTTTAGTTTTATGCCGCTTTTAGCAACATTCCAGCAATATCATGGCGGGGGACACAAGAAATAGGCTTCACACATTGTACCCATGTAGGGAATCGAACCCAGGTCGTCAGCGTGACGAGTGAACGCTTTAACCACTTGTCTATCCGACTGCCTCCAATATTTTTGTAGGCAAATGTACCTGTAATGATATACAGAAAGCAACAAAACTCTTTCTATAATCATACAAAATCTCTGCAAAAAAGAAGAATCTGTTGTTTGATTTTCTTCTATATCACAATATAAAATTATATAAGTGTACTGATAATTAATACAAATTATGATAGGGACTATATGGTTTAACAAATCGTTTAACTAATCTTTTAACTGTTCACACCACAAGGTAGACAAGGAAGACCAAGGTAGCCATCAGCTGTAAATCAGTCTCTAGGGGATTATGGCTGATGTAAACAGTTGATTTATGTGCCATGAGTGGGTGTGTCTTAAACAGGTATACTTTGGTCCAGATTAATAACAATAAGCCACTTTGTTCATTTTTACATATTTTGGGGGGAAAAAGGCAGATGAAAAATTACAACTTAGATTTACTCCCACTTTTGTTCTGTTTTATTTAGAAAATATTGAAAGTATTTGGAGAATGTCATCTTACGTTATTAATTTGAGGTACAACATTGTGGTTGCTATGTTGCAAATGTAATGTCAACAGTTTTGATACAAATTTAATCAGGGAATATATGTACCTGAAAGCAGGACAGGTTGAAAATAATACGACGACTCTCAACCAATCAGAATCAGGCATTCAAGTGTGAGATAAAGTCTATATTTATATGCACCCTTGGGTATAACAGAATTGTCATTCCTTTGCTCCAACAAACAATAAAAATCTTTAAATAGAAATAACCAGATATGTCACAATAACCTGTACAGAGCATACAACATTTATTTGGTTATGTTATTCCAAACACGACCAAAATATAAATAATACCTATTCTTAAAAGCCAACATTTAAGTAAAATAGATTTACCATTTCTATTTGTGTTTCAAGCTGAAAATACAATTCCCTGAATATCGGAATCTTAATGAGTATAGAAACTTTACATGATATTTTTAGGATTATAATCACTGATTTGAGTGGCATTATAGTAGTTGTCATTCGTGCTTGACAACGGTACAAGAATCTGTATTGAAACGTGACACCCACAAATAAAAGAAGTTGTTATTCATAAAGTTTGCCAACATAGACTTGAATAAATACTTTAACGAAAACCTTTGTTGTTAATACATCAAAACGTCTTGGGCATCAAAGGTCACTGTCTATATTCTCCCCATTCAAAAAACAGTACTAAAAAACACACGTTACTTCGTAACTTTGATATATAGGATCTACCTATGTTTTGTAAACTGCATGAATCCTTCTTGGTATCATCTGGTATTACAACTCAGGTTAATCCTTCTTGGTATCATCTGGTATTACAACTCAGGTTAATCCTTCTTGGTATCATCTGGTATATTACACCTCAGGTTAATCCTTCTTGGTATCATCTGGTATTACACCTCAGGTTAATCCATCTTGGTATCATCTGGTATTACACCTCAGGTTAATCATTCTTGGTATCATCTATTATTACACCTCAGGTTAATCCTTCTTGGTATCATCTATTATTACACCTCAGGCAGGTTAATCCTTCTTGGTATCATCTGGTATTACACCTCAGGTTAATCCTTCTTGGTATCATCTGGTATTACACCTCAGGTTAATCCTTCTTGGTATCATCTGGTATTACACCTCAGGTTAATCCTTCTTGGTATCATCTATTATTACACCTCAGGCAGGTTAATCCTTCTTGGTATCATCTGGTATTACACCTCAGGCAGGTTAATCCTTCTTGGTATCATCTGGTATTACACCTCAGGTTAATCCTTCTTGGTATCATCTATTATTACACTTCAGGTTAATCCTTCTTGGTATCATCTATTATTACACTTCAGGTTAATCCTTCTTGGTATCATCTGGTATTACACCTCAGGTTAATCCTTCTGGTATCATCTATTATTACACTCCTCAGGTTAATCCTTCTTGGTATCATCTATTATTACACTTCAGGTTAATCCTTCTTGGTATCATCTATTATTACACCTCAGGCAGGTTAATCCTTCTTGGTATCATCTGGTATTACACCTCAGGTTAATCCTTCTTGGTATCATCTGTTATTACACCTCAGGCAGGTTAATCCTTCTTGGTATCATCTATTATTACACCTCAGGCAGGTTAATCCATCTTGGTATCATCTGGTATTACACCTAGGTTATTACTTGGTATCCTCTGGCAGGTTAATCCTTCTTGGTATCATCTGGTATTACACCTCAGGTTAATCCTTCTTGGTATCATCTGGTATTACACCTCAGGCAGGTTAATCCTTCTTGGTATCATCTATTATTACACCTCAGGCAGGTTAATCCTTCTTGGTATCATCTGGTATTACACCTCAGGTTAATCCTTCTTGGTATCATCTATTATTACACCTCAGGCAGGTTAATCCTTCTTGGTATCAACTCAGGTAGGTTAATCCTTCTTGGTATCATCTGCTATTACACTTCAGGCAGGTTAATCCTACTTGGTAGCAACTCAGGTAGGTTAATCCTTCTTGGTATCATCTATTATTACACCTC